AAATCAAATTTTATTTTGTTTCCGACGGAATCCGTCGCAAACAATTGAATATTATTTTGTTTGCAACACCAGGTCCCGCAAAATACTACAAATCTTCAACTCTCGTAAAATATTACAACTCGCCAGCTCCCGTAAAATATTACAACTCTTCATCTCCTGTAAAATACTACAAATCGCCATCTCCCGCAAAGTACTACAAATCGCCAGCTCCCGCAAAATACTACAAATCTTCAACTCTCGTAAAATATTACAACTCGCCAGCTCCCGTAAAATATTACAACTCGCCAGCTCCCGTAAAATATTACAACTCGCCAGCTCCCGTAAAATATTACAACTCTTCATCTCCTGTAAAATACTACAAATCGCCATCTCCCGCAAAGTACTACAAATCGCCAGCTCCCGCAAAATACTACATGTCGCAGCTCCCGCAAAATACTACAAGTCGCTAGCTCCTTCAAAGAACTACTACAAGTCGCCATCACCAACAAAGTACTACAAAGCGCTATCACCTGCAAAGTATTACAAGTCACCATCCCCAGCAAAATACTATAAATCGCCTGCTCCCTCTAAATATTATAAGTCATCGGCACCACAAAAATATTACAAATCTCGAGTTTACTATAAATCCCCACCACCACCAACTTATTATGAGAAATCACCTTCGTATTACGAGTCACCTGCACCTCTTCCAACATACTATGAGCAATCACCTTATTACAAGTCACCTCCACCCCCATCAAAATACTATGAGCAACTGTGGTCATACAGTTCTCCTCCACCACCACCAAAATACTATTAACAATCACCAATCAATTATAAATCTCCACCTCCACCATACTATAAAGAATCTACACCTTCCTACAAATCTCCTCCACCTCCACCAAAATACTACGAGCAATCACCTATAACTTACAACTTACCATCTCTACCAAAGACTTATGAAAAATCGCCATCATACTACTCACCTCCACCACCAACGAACTATTATAAGCAAACTCCCGTCTATGCCTCACCTTCACCACCTGTAAAATACGAGCAATCTGCCACCTATGTTTCACCTCCCCAGCAACCTACTACTAATATTGATCATATCATTCACTTCAATCAATTTTCACCATTTCCTTGATTTATAGATCCTTTTCATCTTCCTATATGAAGTATTTCTATTTTCTCTCCCAAAATCTTATGTGCGCTTTCCCCAAAGGTCGGCTTCTCTTGTTGTGTGCTATTTTTAATTTATAATTTGCATTATTTGATATTCAAGTAAGATCCTCGAGATCTCCAACAGTTTGGTTCATTGTATCAATTAAGCTCCTTTCGGTGTAATCTCTTGAGAATTTTACTTTAATTGCTTACTACTATCTTCTTCTTTACTACAATATTAGTTTCTTGACACGTGCCTTGCACGTGTATCCCATGCTAATTAGTCCGAAGCGAAGAAAAGGCTGGATCAATCAAAGGGGGTACTACGAGCCCTCTGCCCCACGCATCTAACCAGCTCGCGTGGTTCAAGATGGTATAAATCCATTAGTACAAATATTTCAAGATGGTATATATTTTGTGATGATTCTTTTTTTTTTTACAAGAAGTATAGAAAGCTCGAGAAGAACACTCTTATATCAATAAAGTATAACAAATATTGCTAAACCATAATGTATATATTGTCACAAATAATAACTTTAAATTTCTTCCAATACGCATCTACAAGAAACATTATCAAACAATAACATTACAGTTTCATTTCTTCCCGCAAGGGCCATATCTACCTAGAAGTAAATTACATTGGAAAAAAATAACTCTTCCCTTACTTTTAGTATCAAGAAAAAATGAGAGAATATCTTTGTAGAATTCCTTCAAGAATAAATAATGATAAATAGAAAGAAGAAGTAAATAACTTTAAAAAAGAAGAAGAGATAAACTGTTACTTACCAAAATAAAAAGAGAAATATGATTTTAGTAATGGTCATGATCCCATGCAAAAGAAATTGTCAAAAGGACAACTCAAGATGCATTTTGAACCTATAATTTATACTTCATCCCTTGCACTCAAGAGACAAAATTGCAGCAGATGAAGTGACTGCAAGAGGAAACATTTTTACCAAATAACAAAAGCAAGAAATATAGCAATAACAATAGCAAAGACCAAAAACAAAATTGTCAGTGGGAAGGAATAAAAAAAAAACTAAAATAAAAGGCTGATATGAAATGCCTTAAAAAATTAAATAAAAATAAAAATAAAGTATAAAACAGATATTAAACGCCCCATAAAATTGACCATTTGGTGATAGCTTCATGCTTCACGCCCCATGGGTCCAACTAACAACGAGCATGCTTGATCATAGTCATTTGACTGTCCTTCATACTAACACACAGAACTAATGGCTCTCTCTCATAAGAAATTAATCAACAATAATAAGAATACATATATAATGTAATTTAAAATCCAAATGATAAGGCATGTTACCATTCAGTTATTTTGTTGTGATGAAATTTGGTTTAGCAAAAGCTTCATGGATACATAGTGTGGAGCGGCGAAGGTGAAGAAAAGGAAATACATTTAGAGTAGTGGAACAGACTTTACAACATTTAATTATGAGCAGTAAACGGATGGTTTTAGTGGTGGAAGTTAGAAGGACAAAAATTAACGCTCAATAAATAGTAGAAGATGTAAAAATTCTTAATTACCTGGTATTCTTAATTGTACTTATTCATTTAATAGAATTTTTTTTTTTTTGAAGAAGGCCAAAATAGTCAATCAAAATTTTATGGGTATTTTCGTATTTATTTTTCATAAAAATACTCTATTAATATTAAAATGTACATTATGCCCAAGGCAAAGCTAGCTTGAACAAAGGGGGTTCAATCAAATTTTGTTCTTTGAAAAATATACCAAAAAAATAGTCATGCCTAATTAAAACTCAAAAATTTCAAACTCATATGTTTAACAAATAGCTTCATTTTTAATTTTTGGATCCTAATAAGCTTCTACTTATTTAAATATCTCATATTTGTGGAGCTTGAAATCTTAGCTTTGATACTTTTGATAGGACTTTCTGACATGTTTGAGATAATGATTTAAGAGTTAGGTTAGATACACTATCTTTTAGAATTTTTGATCGCTTATTAGAAGAAGCAAAAATAGTGGATTTATACATTGCACTATTCCAAAAATTCATATAACGTTCGTACAAGAATTAATCATGTCACATAATACCAATTTAAATTATAACAATTTTTATAAAATATATATATATATCAATATGATACTTGCTTTAGGCTTTAGCCGCCCCTGCCTATAACATGTCTCTTTTATGTTTCCAGAACTTCCACGGGAACCCCATGATTGATAACGTAAAAACAAGATAAATAACAATAATATTAAGTCTCGATTTTAAACAAGTTAGATTCGGTAATATAAATCGTTATTATTTATGTCGCTGGTGACGGAGTCAGAAATTTTACTAAGGATATTTAAGATTATATATAAAAATAACTTATAGGAATTTAGTTGGGATTATAAAATAGAAAACTTTCATAGGTATGCGTTCAGCCCTTTCCTATTCGCCCTGGCGATGGATGCCATAACGCATCATATTCAAGGGGAGGTGCCATGGTGCATGCTATTTGCTGATGACATAGTCCTAATTGGCGAGACAAGACGCGGCGTCAACGAGAGGCTGGAGGTTTGGAGACATGCCCTTGAGTCTAAAGGTTTCAGGTTGAGCAGGACGAAGACGGAATACCTCGAGTGCAAATTTGGGGTCGAGCCGACGGAAGCGGGAGTGGAAGTGAGGCTTGACTCTCAAGTCATCCCTAATAGGGGTAGTTTCAAGTACATTGGGTTAGTTATTCAGGGGATCGGGGAGATCGACGAGGATGTCACACACCGTATAGGGGTGGGGTGGATGAAATGGAGGTTAGAGACGGGAGTCCTGTGTGACAAGAAAGTGCCACCGTTACTAAAAGGTAAGTTTTATAGAGCAGTGGTTAGGCCTGCCATGTTGTATAGGACCGAGTGTTGGCCGGGTAAGAACTCACACATCCAGAAGATGAGAGTAGCAGAGATGAGGATGTTGAGGTGGATGTGCAAGCATACAAGGATGGATAAGATTAGGAATGGAGATATTCGAGAGAAGGTGGGCGTGGCCCCCATAGAGGACAAGATGTGGGAAGCAAGACTCAGATGGTTCGGGCACATCCAGAGGAGGAGTACTGATGCACCGGTGAGAAGGTGTGAGCGACTGGCTGTGGTGGGCACGAGGAGAGGTAGAAGGAGACCTAAGAAGTATTGGGGAGAGGTGATCGGGCAGGACATGACGCGTCTTAGGATTACTAAGGACATGGCCCTTAACAGGGAATTGTGGAGGTCGACCATTAAAGTTGTAGGATAGGGGAAGTTGCGGATATTCCTACAGCATACTAGAGTGAGACTAGTTAGTTAGGAGTTAATCTTAGGATGCTACTGATCAGATACTGATGCAGGGATTTATCCGTTGGATATTAGTATACCTTCCATCTTTTCCGTATTTCCTATATTTCTTATATTGCTGTTATTTTGTTATTTTATGTTATTTTAGTATGAGTTTATTGATTGTACTAATGTATCGTCTCTTGTTGTTGTCTTGAGCCGAGGGTCTCCTGGAAACAGCCTCCCTGCTCCTCGGGGTCGGGATAAAGTCTGCGTACATATTACCTTCCCAGACCCCACCTGTGAGATTATACTGGATTGTTGTTGTTGTTGTTGTCGTACGTACGCAGATAAAAAGTTAATGTTACTTAACGAGGGGCATGGCACAAGGACATTTTTGCCCCTTTCCTGTTCCCTTCACCCCCCCCCCCCCCCC